ATTACGTATTTTAGTGCTTTATTACAAGCTACCTAAATCTTCAATTAATTACATAACTTAGACTCACATGCAAGGCTCACTTAGGTAAATTGGATTATTTTCCACTCATCCAAGCCATATATATGATTATTATAAGTTACTAAGGGTTCCCATAAGCCCACTTAGCTTAAATATCATTTTTACGGTTTTCCCGTAACTGTACATGCTTCTATTTTCTAGTCACTGAGCGCAAATCACATGTTATAAAATTCTCATCCTTTATTATGTTAATATAGGGCCCTAAACATTTGGAGTTTGGAGTTTCCTAGCTTCGGTTATCACCTTTTAAAGTTGGACAAGCAAAGCAATTTGCCAACTCCGAACAGTAAACATTCTTTACCATTTCCGCGATTCTGGAAAATTTACTAAACCAATTGCTCTCACATTTGTATGCAGACAACTAGACACCTATAGCTTTAATTTGACATATTATAAGCCTAATCTTAGTAAGCACATAGGGAGAAACAATTCGTGGAAGTTTCAGCCATGTACAGCCCCTGCACATGGCCTCCTTGGGTAGTCCTCACTAAAACGAACATAAAGAATGGAATACATCTTCAATTGAAAAAATATTTTGATACCACATAGATAACATCGCAAGCTTCAATTTGATATAAGCCACAGCCCTATATGACCTCTGTGGAGGGAGATATGCTCTCCCCAATTTCGCCTAAAAATTGATTATATGGCCCTAAATGTGTTTACTTAACAAACCTTAATTATTTTTTATTATAAATCCTAATTCACTTAATTCTTGGATTTTTCTATTATTAAGTCACATTATGAAATATCCTTAGTCCCATTATGTCATGATACTTAAATTTTACTAATTACTTAATTAGTGTACCTAAACCCTACTTTAGTCCAATTTTAGAGTTAAATCCTTAATTACTTTTGTTAATTAATCCTACCTTTAATTAATCCCTTAATCTTAGAGAGAAGTGAGAGTTTTCAAAATATTTTAAAAGTCATATTATTAGGGTTATTATATTCACCACACCTTTTAAAAAGATTTTGTCCTCAAAATCAGATCATACCTGATATCAAAGTTGGGATATCGCCGAAGAATATCATCCTCTCGCTCCCATGTGGCATCCTCAGGTGCCAATCCTTCCCGTTGAATCTTGATCATAGGAATAACTCTATTTCGAAGCTGTTTCTCATTTCGAGCAAGAACCTTAGAAGGTCCAACAACGAACTTAAATTCTTTCTTAACCTCTATATCATCAGGATGTACAATGTGTGAATCATCAGATATATATCTGCGGAGTTGACTCATATGGAAGACGTCATGTAGATTCGCTAAGTTGGGAGGTAGAGCAAGTTGATACGCCACCTGTCCGTCCCTCTTGATTATCTGGTAGGGCCCAATGAACTGTGGACTCAACTTCCTCACTCCCAAGGCACGTCCAACACCTATAGTGGGTGATAATCGAATGAATACATGATCCCTTCAGAGAACTCAAGGGGTCTGTGTTTGGCATCGTAGTAACTCTTCTGACGGCTTTAGGCTTTCTTCAGCCTATCTCTGATCATCTCAATCTACTTTGAGGTCTCTTGGACCAAGTCTGGCCCCATTAACTGTCTCTCTCGAACCTCCGTCCAACAAGTAGGTGCTCTACACCTACGGCCGTACAAGGCCTCATAAGGAGCCATGCCAAACTGGCATGATAACTGTTGTTGTATGAGAACTCAACCAGTGGCAGGTACTTGTCCCAAGCATTACCCTGCTTTAACACACATGCCCTCAACATGTCCTCCAGTGTCTGAATGGTTCTCTCGGTCTGACCATCTGTCTACGGGTGATATGCAGTACTCAATCTCAATTGAGTACCAAAGGCCTCATGCAACGCTTCCCAGAAGTGTGAAGTAAACTTCAGATCTCGATCACTGACTATGCTTTCAGGAATGCCATGAAGCTTCACAATCTCTCTGACATATAGTCTGGCTAGCTGCTCTGTGGAGAAGGTCGGCTTGACTGGAATGAAATGGGCGAATTTAGTCAACCTATCAACCACATCCCATATGGAATCAAATCCAGCCTGTCTTCTCGGTAATCCAACAACAAAGTCCATGGATATACTCATCCACTTCCACTCTGGAATATCTAATGGTTGTAACAAGCCAGAAGGCTTCTAATGCTCAATTTTTACCTTCTGACAAATAAGGCACTTGTTCACAAACTGGGCAATGTCTTTCTTCATCCCAGGTCACCTAAAATTTTGCTTCAAATCTTGATACATCTTGGTTGCACCTGGGTGGATGAGGTACTTGCCCATATGGCCCTCTGTCAACACTTCTTCTACCATTAGCCCCTTCAGAACAATTAACCGATCTTTGTAGTATTTCACATTAGAAGCATCGGTAAACACAAAATCTTGCTCTTTCATCATTTTGATCCCTTCATCAAGCACTTGGGCCGCTTTAATTTTCTCTATCAATGAATTTCGGACATCAACCGTAGTCATGAAGTATGAAGTCTCAAGTTGTGTAACTGAAATTCTCAAATCTCTAAACTCCTCAATCACGTCATACTCTGCAATCATCATGCTAGCCACACTCATGGTCTTTCAGCTCAAAGCATTAGCCACAACATTCGCCTTTCTTGGGTGATACTGAAGGTCAAACTCATAATCCTTCAGGAATTCCATCCATCTCCTTTGTCTCATATTAAGCACCTTTTGATCGAATAGATACTTCAAGCTTTTGTGATCACTAAAAACTGTGAAGGTAGCACCATACAAGAAGTGCCTCCATATCTTCAAGGCGAAAACACAGCCGCTAACTCAAGATCATGAGTAGGGTAGTTCTCTTCATGTGGTCTCAACTGTCTAGAAGCATAGGCCACTACCTTTCGCTCCTGCATCAACATGCACCCTAATCCATACTTGGATGCATCACAATAGATCTCAAATCTCTTCTCTGGATCAGGAAGAATCACAACCGGTGCGGTAGTCAACTTATCTTTCAATTCTTGAAAACTCACATCACACCTAAGGGTCCATGCAAATGGCACCCTTTTTCGGGTCAACCTAGTCAATGGCAAGGCGATTCTGGAGAATCCTTAATAAACCGCCTGTAGTATCCGACTAAACCCAGAAAACTCTAGATCTCAGTAACACTCTTGGGTCTCTCCCAATCCAGCACAGCTTCAATTTTACTCGGATCAACAGCCACTCCTGTAGATGAGATGACGTGTCCAAGAAACTGGATCTCATGTAACCAAAACTTACCCTTGGATGGTTTGGCATATAACTGATGCTCCCTTAAAATCTGTAGAACTATCTTCATATGCTCTGCATGTTCTTCCTTACTTTTGGAGTAGATCATAATATCATCAATGAATACCACAACAAACTGATCTAAATATGGTTTGAAAATCCGGTTCATATAACTCATGAACACGGCCAAGGCATTACGAAGCCCAAATGGGATCACTAGATACTCATAGTGCCCATATCTGGATCGAAAAGCCGTCTTAGGGATATCCTCGACCTTTACCTGGATCTGGTGATATCCGGAATGAAGATTAATCTTCGAGAACACAGAAGCACCTCTGAGCTGATCCAACAGATTATCAATGCATGGTAGAGGATACTTGTTCTTCACTGTCACCTTGTTTAACTGTCGGTAATCAGCGCACAATCTCATAGTCTCTTCCTTCTTCTTCACAAAGATAACTGGTGCACCCCAAGGAGATACACTCGGTCTGATAAAATTCTTGCGCGATAATTCTTCTAACTTCTTCTTCAGCTCTGCTAGCTCCACTGGTGACATCCTGTATGGAGCCAATGAGATAGGCCCCACACCAGGTACTAATTCGATGGAGAATTCAATCTCCCTCTCAGGTGGAAAATGGGGAATTTCTTCTGGAAATACGTCTTCAAACTCGCATGCAACCAGAATATTAGCAGTAGGTTCTTTGGAGTCTCCTACGAGTCCTCCTAGGATAATGTATCCTGCATCTCCCTCATCTAGAGCCTTATTTAACTGCGGTCCCGTCAAGTACAAACTGTTTGGCTTCTCTCCTTTTGAAGAAAAGAAAATCCTCCTGCTACAACAGTCGAGCATCACACCATACCGAACCAGCCAATCCATACCCAATATAATATGTAGATTCATGCCCTCAAGCACTATCAAATCCACCATATACTCTTCTTGCTCATATATGAATCTGACTTCTTTGCACTTCAAAGAAGTAGAAACAATGTCTCCGGTGGCAGTCTTCACCTATGTAGCACCGATACTGACACGGGACATGTGACACGATATGACACAACACTCCGACACGTTAATTCTAAAAAATATTAGATTTCGACACGTTAGGACACGTTTTGATATTAAATAATATTTTTATTTTATGTAGTGTATGTTATATTTAATATTTAATAATTTAACAAAAAAAATGAAACTAAACTTATAATATTTATCAATTTTGCAAAGAAACATACGATATCCCAAATATTTATATTAAACTCAATAAAATGATAATCATAATCGAACGAATCTAGTAGTTGGAACTAAAAACTCAACACAACGAAACCTTTGAACCTTTTTTTGAATTTCTATAATACGTGTTGAAGTGTCGGGGAGTGTCGAAGTGTCGGAGAGTGTCGGGAAGTGTCGGACACGACACGTCAGGATTTTTAAAGTGTTAGTGCTTCATAGGTCTTCACTACCATGGGAGGCGTGAACTTATGAATGGGACAATGTAATCCATTAGCAAAATATTTTGATATGAAGGAGTGGGTAGCTCTGGAATCGAACGTGGCATCAAATGCATATCCTCTAATAAGAATAGTACATCTGATAAGGTTTGGAGACCTCTTTGCCTCCTGCTGTGTCGCTGTATATACCCTGGCACTAGTGGGCGGCATAGGCTCCTCTATGGCTCTCTGAGTAGGCACAGACTGAATAGAGATCGCCTGAATGGCTGCAACTTGCCCCGTCTTCTTGGGGAACTATCTGGAATAGTGTCCTGCCTGACCACAACTGAAGCAGACATTCTGCCCCAGTCGACAAACACTTGTATGCATCTTCCCACACTTGGCAGAAGTGGGAATCTTCCCTGCACCAGGCATGCCGCTTCCATTCTTCACGAAGGGAGTCTTCTTAAACTTGGTGTTCTGTTGTGCTTGCAAACATTTGCCCTTACCCTTCCAGGGCGTAGTCCTTCCACTGAAGCTCTTTCCTGCTGCTTCCTTTCCCCTAGTACGATAGTACTCCTGAATATTCTTGCACTGCTTGATCAGCTCCATAAAATCTCTGGTACAATGACCAGCCAGCTTCTCCGCTATCATATCATTCAGGCCCTTCTTGAATCGAAAGGCCTTATCTTCTAGAGTGAGGGGAACTCTACCATAACAAGAATATTTTGTCAAGCTGTTGCACTTGCTCAGATATTCATCCACCGTCATGCCTCCCTGCCAGAGGTCTTCAAACTCACTCTTCTTCTTTTCCCTTGCTTCATCAGGGAAGTACTTCTGCAGAAAATGCCTCTCAAATAACGGCCAAGTAATTGCATAACCTTGGCACTCCAATGGGTGTCTGACATTGCTCCACCAGTCTACTGCATCTCCCTGTAACATGTACACAACATACAAAAGCTTCGTCTCGACATCGCATTTGATGACCAGAAAAATGTGCTCCATCTCTTGGAGCCACTCCAATGCTATTATGGGGTCTCTTCCACCTATATAGTGAGGTGGAGAATGCTTCCTGAAAGCGTTCAGCATACGCTTTCTAGTCTCCCGGTCAAACCTGGGTGGCATAACTGATCTATCAATCTCCACAACTGGCTGCCTCACTCATCCCCCATGGACTGATGCCTCCGCCTCTTGATGGGCCTCTCCTGACCCATCCTGTCCCAGCACTACAGGATCAAGAATCTGTACGGGACCAGCAGCACATACAACCTGCTGCTGCACATGTGGTGCAACTGGCGGTGGAGGAGGTGGTGAAGGTGGTGGAGGTCTTACTCGTACCTCTATCAACAGTAATCAGATCATCTCGGCATTGGCTAGCCTATTTTGCGCCTTAAGGTCTTCACTTGCCTTTCTCAGCTGTTCTCTATCGCGCTCTCTGGCCTCTTCGATTCTTTTTAAATCAGCTTCCCTGGTTTCATTCAGGGTCTGCTGCAATGCTGTTATAGCTGCAGCAATAGGATCTGGAGGAGGGTTTTGAACTGTTCGCCTGGGTCTCCCCCGAGGTGCCAGGCCACTACACAAAACTGCACGAGGTATGAGTTAGCTACGCTCAATCAGCATATGCATTATCATGACACTCAAGAGACACTCAATAAACAGTTCTAACACTTAAGCAATACATCAATGAACGTCCCGGTGAAACTGCTCTGATACCATAAATGTAACACCCCGTAGTACTCCGGTTGTTAACATACATGATATTTGGCATACACAGCGGAAGACTTTATTTTAAAAGAATAATAAGACGTTTTACAAAAATACGAGTAAACTTTTTCCAAAAACCTTTTATGAAATATTTCTAAAAACGTTCACGTGAGATACTGCGAAAGTGTAAATCTAAACATACATCTACTAAAATAAATACATGCATTAAGTCTATATTAGTTCAAGGTAAGAAAGCATCAGTAAATAATCCATGGCTCTAAGGATACAATCATGAGCCTAAATAAATACATACAATAATCTCCATAAAATAATTAAGCATGTTAATAAGTCAACATGCCAACATCAAGTCTAAACATAATATAAAATCATCAGCTGCATCATCAACTACTCCAATGCGGGGGCCTTGCCCCTAGAAGCATCACCACTGCTCTTGGTACCTGAAATGATGTCCCCAAACGGGGTGAGATAACAACATCTCAGTAAGCTCAAGGTTCACAGAGGATCCTCTAACCCCTGAGCCCACTTCCTGCATGTCAAGTTAGATATAAAGCACATAATGCATGCATACAACATAAACATAGCATCATCATATCATCCTTGTGTAACCCCAGGGTCAAAGGCATAGACGGTTACACATGTGTGACTTCTAGGGTCAAGCCATAGACAGTCAACACAACTTCAGTATGAAATAGCTCCCAGAGTCAAGTAATAGGCAGCCTACATGCCATGGTCACTGGCCAGGATCCTCATAACATATATCATCAGTGCATCATCATAACATCAAGATCATATAACATCTATATGAATGTGAATGAATGCACATATACATCATATCGTATACTTTCATACAATACAACCATAGTGCCCACCATCATGGTGGGGCCGCAAGAGATATGAGTCAACTAGAACTAGGAGCTTACCTCACTGAGCTTATCAACAACCTAACTCCAACAGTTCAATACGTATGCTCCACTACACTCTCAAGTGCCAAGCTCTCTAGGAAAACCTAGAGCAAGAACCATTCACATCATTAATTACATATTAATTAATCAAGTCATATCCACGACTTAATCATTTAATGATTCCACTTTTCATACTCATATGTCAATATTATGCCCATTACAAGTCTAGACCAATTATTGCATAATTACGTATTTTAGTGTATTAGTACAAGCTACCTAAATCTTTAATTAATTACATAACTTAGAATCACATGCAAGGCTCATTTAGGTAACTTAGATTATTTTTTACTCATCCAAGCCATATATATGATTATTATAAGTTACTAAAGTTCCCATAAGCCCACTTAGCTTAAATATCATTGTTACGGTTTTCCCGTAATTGTACATGCTTCTGTTTTCTAGTCACTGAGCGTAAATCACTTGTTAAAAATTCTCATCTTTTAGTATAATAATCTAGAATCAATTTCCTTTCTAACAAGGTATCACATGACTCATTTGGAGTTTCCTAGCTGCGGTTATCACCATTTGAAGTTGGACAAGCAAAGTTGTTTGCCAACTCCGAACAAGGCCCTAAACATCCTTTACCATTTCTGAGATTATGGAACATATACTAAACCAATTACTCTTAAATTTTTATTCAGACAACTAGACACCTATAGCTTTAATTCTAAATATTATGAGACTAATTTGAGTAAGCACATAGGGAAAAATAATTCGTGGAAGTTGAAGCCATGTACAGCCCCTGCACATGGCCTCCCTGGGCAGCCCTCACTAAAACTAACATACAGAATGAAATACATCTTCAATTGGTACAAAATTTTGATACCATATAGCTAACATCTCAAACTTCAATTTGATATAAGGAACAACCCTATATGACCTCTCTGGAGGGAGATATGCTCTCTCCAATTTCTCCTAAAAACTTATTATATGGCCCTAAATGTGTTTACTTAACAAACCTTAATTATTTTTTATTATAAATCCTAATTCACTTAATTCTTAGATTTTTCAATTAGTAAGTCACATTATGAAATATCCTTAGTCCCATTATGTCATGATACTTAAATTTTACTAGTTACTTAATTAGTGTACCTAAACCCTACTTTAGTCCAATTTTATAGTTAAATCCTTAATTACTTTTGTTAATTAATCCCTTAATTCATCATCTCCTTAATTTTTACACAAATAAACCCTTATATACTTTATGGGGTAGATTTGATGAGCTATTTTAATTAGAGTTTTTAGCCATTATTAATCATGATTAGTGAGTTTTACTTAGAGTTAACCCACCTAGTTAATCTTTCTAATCATTTTTCCACACTTAACAACTTAATCACATTTTTTTGTCATCAAACCTTATCATTACTTGACATAGCCGAAATCATCAAGGGTCCAAATAGGGTTCATGTTCATCTTTTTACATGAACAACACACAAAGGTCCAAAGGTGGCACCTTTACTCATCAAATCCATGATTCCATGGTTCAAAACACACACACCCTTAGAGATCTTCATCAAATCATTACTTTAAAAAAATTTAAACAACATTCTCCTCATGAACATAACAAAACCGAGGCACTCAACAAGAAAAGGGAGGCTTTTTGGTTCATATTTCCCAAATGGGAGCTTACATCTTCAAGGTTCCTCCTTTAGCTCAAGTCTCCACTTTTTTCCACCAAGAACCCTCCTTTAAGCAAGAAGAAACCTTCATGAACATGCTCATGAGTTAGGCTCAAGAACAAAAGAAGAAAAGATGAGGTTTTTCATGAAAAAAATTAAGAGAACTTACCCACAAATCACAAGAACCAAGCAACCAAGTGTGGTTCTTCAAGAAAGTTTAAGAAGACAACTTAATGGCCATCTTTCTTCACAAAACCATGGTTGTCCAAGGAGCTAAGGGCTACGAAATTTTGGCAGTATGGTTGTGAAGAGGAGAGTGAGAGGAACAACTTTGATGAAGGATGTTTTGTTTTTTGAGAGGTTTAGGTGATGGAATCTTAGAGAGAAGTGAGAGAGTTTTCAAAATTTGAAATTTAGAGAGAGAAGGAGGAAGGGGGCTGCTGAGTCTGATCAGAAAATGGAGGAGAAGGTGTCCTAATTAGGGTCGCCATGTCACTTAAGTGGCACATTGTCCTTTAGTGAAACCCGGTGTAATTTTTAACTGAATTGTCGTCAAATTTTTACCCGAAAACTCCCAATACTCTAACTTTAAGTACTTAACATTAATTTTGTCTAATTATCATGTTCATAACTTAAAAATTTGATTAATAGATCACAGATCGACTAACAGTTGTTTAATTGCACTATAGTCTTTACCGGTGTTCTTAACTATATCCGGATTTCATAATGTTCTTAACTTTAATATTTTTGGGCTAATTATGACTTGTTAGGCATATATTGGTCTTTATTTCCATTTTCTCATCTTTTTCCCATTCCGGGATTCTACCGACTGCTGCTACAGCAGTACAAAATACCCGGCAGAATTGACTTTTCAAAAATACACACGGAGACATCACCACGCGCTTTGCACAACAATCAATCAGTGCACAGTTTCTAGACAACCAATCCATGCCCAGAATAATCTCCAAGTTGGCCATCGGCAATCCTATCAGATCTACCGAGAACTCACGACCGTCCCATTGAAACGCTATATCGCGATGTACAGTGGTAGAATCACAAATTTCTCCGGTGGCGGTAGTCACCCGCAACGGTGGAGAAAGCACAGACATGGGCAACTCAAGCCTCAAAGCAATCGGGGTAGCGACAAACGAATGCGTAGCCCCGAAATCAAACAATGCATCAATAGCAATACCACCAATAGACACAGTACTTCTGACAAGGTTCGGAGCGCGGTCCGACTACTGCCTATCCAAGGTGTACACATGCCCAACAGAAGGTGGCACCGCAGGTGCCGAAGTAGAAGCCATCGGAACCATCTGCAAAGGAACTGCCTGAACAGCTAAAGCTCTCGCCGCAGACGACGGACAGTCTCTAGAAAAGTGGCCCTCCTTGCCACACTGGAAACAGATCAACTGACCCGAAGCACAACGACCAGCATGCTCCTTTCCGCACCCCGCACATCTCGGAGTGGAAGGAGGCCTAGCAAACCTCCCCTGCGGTGAAGCAGTCCTCTTGAACTGACCAAGCGCCTGCGTAGTCGCCAACTGTTTACCTTTGCCCTTCCCAGCAAACTTCTTGTCCTTCCAAGAAGTAGGAGCAGGAGTGGAACTAACAGTCCCCTTGGTCTCGTCGACTTTGGCCTTCTTGGCCTTGCTCGCTATGCAGACATCCTCAATGTCCTTACACTGCTGAACCAGTGTACCAAAATCCCTCGAAGCAGCTCCAGCAATATGCTCAGCAATCACCTCACTAAGTCCTCTGCGGAACTTAGCAGCCAGAAACATCGGAGTAGGAGGAACCATCCGGAAGTGTGCAAACT